GAGTGTCAAGAACCGGAGATTCGGTATTATTGCAGTTACTAAGGGTGGTATACATGATATGGTAGGGACATGGGGAGATGCAGATGCTTGATTGCAGTTGAACTTGCCAGCTCGTTCTGGGATAAGACACACCGTGGAAATGCGGACGCATGATTTGTTCGTTTGCCAGCTTGAGAGGTTCTTTGGAGACGAACAACGAATCGCTTTGACCTCTGCCCGCCATATGAACTTTTCCCTGCGCGAGCCCCCTGTGAAAAGGAGACCAGGGATATTGAAGAATATGGCGTCCAATAATCGGGGATCTTCCGCAACGTTGTATCGAAATACGCCCAGTCCAACGTCTTCCCGGAAATGGGTGGGAGCTTCAAACGTCTGACCAGCTCAATGAGCAATTGGGCAACTAAGCCTCTGAAAGCACTTTAATGGCCTATAGATAGTGTCATAAACGATACATTGCAAAACAATCAAATCCGACTAGATGAGTGAAAGAAAAACTCCATGGACATCCAAATAATGAGATTCCCAAACACCTATGCCCGATAGTGACCTTTCCCATAATTTTCATCACCCTCCAAAAAACACCATGGTATCTGCCAGATATGCTCCATATCGTCCAAACGTAACAGTAGATCATAGTAGCTCGTCACTACCACTCGCAACACTATTCTCAATCGCATCAAGAATGGCTCTCTCTTCGAATACTGGGCCTTGCCCATCGCACTTGGCAACTTTCTTTAGTCTGTCACTGATATCGCCAATATCAATTAGACCTCTGGCATACAGAGGGTGATTGATGATGTAGTCCCAGGTGGCCCCTGCAGCTAGCAGTCTTTCACCACTATCACTTGTAACGATCCTATGACTCGGTGTCTTGTTATCGTGCGCATACAGAACCTCGGTATAGAAATCGCTAGGGGAATATCGCATCGGGCCGGCATTTGGTAGAGGTTCGGAACCCCCGCGAGGATGCGCAGATGTCGCTTTCAGGATCTCGTTTTCCGTTGCGGCTTTTTGTAGTTGTAGCTTCAGCCTTTCGTTTTCCTCGACGACGTTGGCAGAATTCTTTTCGAGGGCGGCGAGCTTGGCTTCGAGGTCTTTGACATGGCGTTCTTTGCGTTCGCGGAAGGCTCGTTGTCTATGCGGGGTTAGTATTGAAGGTGGAGTCGTGGAGGGGTCACATACGCTGCTCGATTCTGGGCTTTGCGGCGGGATTGCGCGGGAGTCATATTATCATCATCGTCGCTATTGCTTCCCCTTCTATTGGCATCATCATTCACGTCCCCTCCGCTGCTCATCTCGTAGTTGTGAGTGACACCATTGCTGGTAGAAGCCTTGTGCTGGGAGACTGGCGTGGGAGGTTTGACTGGTGGCATGCCATTGTTGAAATGCTGATTAAAGGTGTCGAAAGTCTGGTACTCGAATGCATCCTGCTTGGAAGTCAGGAAGGGCTGCGAGTAGGACTGGACTTTATGAAATTGGTTCTGGGTACGCACAGGAGGAGAGTTGCTGTAGTGGTCTGAATTGGCGGATCCAGTATGTGCGGGAGTCGGGGGAAGGTCGAGGAACTGATATGGCTGGGGAGCGGCGGTGGTGAAGTAAGGATAGTCCATTGTCTGTATATATATATTGTGGTTTGGGGTGAAGGTAGGTAGATAGATGGTTCTAAGTAGATGTCGGTGTCTTTGGAAGACTGTGAAGTGCAGACGCTGGTGCTTATAAAGCTCGCAGTGGAAGACCGACTGGGTATGAATGACTGGGGATATGTCTGTGTGCAATTAATCTCGGGTCTGGGGAGAAGGGGAAGGTTGTCCAAATTATGTACTTGTCTGGCCGGATCGTTGAAGCTTGCGGGGGGGAGGAGGAGGAGGAGGAGGAGGGCACAGTCCAGAGAGCATCGAAGGTGCAGGAAAGCCGCTAGTGGTTGTCGATAAGCAGCGGAAAGTCTTGGCACGCCGCCTCCAGCCTTACCGGAACGAATATTACCTATGCTTCTTTTCCTCCTGCAGTGGTCTGGACTGCACTGTATCAGGATTTCCTGTGCTCGCATTATTTTCTACCTCACTCCCCTACACGCTTTCCATGTTGTTGACCCTTCATCTTCTCCCATACAAAATAAGTACTGTTATCATGCAATTATTGTTGAGCAATTCTGTTATAACTCGGTACATTGACTTTCCTTTCGTCCTTTACCTATTAGCCATCTTCAGCTCAACCCAAGTACCTAGGACCCAGCACAGTAGCCATTATATACCTCCCATGGTTCACTATCCTCACCATTGCCTCGTCCTTCAGCCAAACCAACCTTCGTCTTCATCCTGCCTGCCTATCTGCCTGCCGCAATTCTTTTCTCCCACCACCTCGCCGCCGGACCAATGTACAGCTCTCCTCTCCTTCCCAGTCCCCATCTGTGTGCCGACCCGCAATCAGCGGGATCTCTTCTCTCCCGCATGTCACTCACTCCCGTCTTCCACTCGTAATGGTAGGTAGCCAATATCTCATTTGACTTCTGACTGCATCTGATCCTCGGTGCCTCACTCCTGTTCAACACACAAAGTGACCGCTAGCTAGCACGGCCTGAGACCTGCCAAGCAGAGCCGGACCGCATTAAGCATTGCGAGAAGTGCTTCCGCTGCAAGACAGCCCTCCTGCTTCTCCTGTCATATAATAGTACAACAATACAAGAATAAATTGCATTTGATAAGGCAACTATCTTGCTATTTGGGGAGAATGACAGCATTGGATTCATTATACTTCGTAGTACGGGGCGCGGCGTGGCACCCGTAACCTTCCTCTCCAGTCCATCCTGATGTGAGATTTTCGAGATTCCGGCTGGCCTTCCCTCCTGCCTTACTCTGTACAGTACCAAACTTCTCACACTCCCCTATTCTGGGGAAACCTAGCTCATGCTGGCCTCTCTCCGTCCCATAATTGGACATGGGGCCTCGAGCCTCGAACTTCCCGGCCTATCTGGCAGCCATTTAGCCTATTCTCCCCAGCACCCCCGCTCAACTCTGGAAGCTCCAAGCCCAAGCCCAAGCCCAAGCCGGCCCTGGAAGACGGGACGATTCTTTCCAGAAGGACCTTTTTTCATGCCTACCAGCTTTGTCAATCTACCAGTAATAACGATCCACATCCATAACCCTTAAATACTCCTTCAGCACCAAATCAACTCACTTGCATCGGCGTTTACCCGTGGCGCTGATGTACCTCCTTCCTCTTCCTTCACCATCTTCTACGTGCGTGGTGAGATGGGATGAGATGGTGGTGGGGGGAAGGTATATTTAGACGGTAGACGCTGAGGCGCGTAAGCCCAACACCAACCTCTGTCTCACTCGTCGAAATACATCCATACACCTATATCGAGTACGAAACATACCTATATCCGTACCACCTCTTTGTGTCTGTCTTATTCCAAATAACGCCTTTTGGTTATTGCATCGATCTAACACTCACTCGGCTACTCACTAAAGAAGCATAATATACAAATATGCATTTTTCTCATTGGATCATCCCCTTTTCCTTCCTTCCTGCCTGCTTTGGATGGAATGGGATGCTACTCTGCCTTCTGTTCGCCGACCCTGGGATGAAACGAGCCCCTTTTAATTCTTCCATGTATACAAGAGGACCCCGAGTTTCCAATGTATTGTATGGTATTGTATGCAGGAAACGAAACAAATGTGCACCAATAAAAGTGAAGATATACATACATCCCATCTCAAACATACCCGTGGCGACTGGCCTAATGTCATGAAACAACCGATTGCGTATATGTGTATATGTCGGAAGAGCCTGTGGGATGGATATCGAGTCGGGCAATCCAATATGGGATGTGCGGGTATGATATTAATTCAGGTACCCGACGGATTGTTTGATGTTTAAGAATAACCGGAGATGGCGATAGAGTGGGAATAAGTCCTGGAAGTTTTTGATATTGGTCTGGTGTTGGTTGGGATGTTGGGATGGGAGAGAGGCCGATTGGCTTGGGGTTTGACTTTGTGTTTGGGAAGGGAAGAATAAGAAGGTCTTTTGGATGCTGTCTGTCTTGGAACAGGAAGTTCATCTTGTCGGCTGGAGGGTTTGGCCGTGGGAAAAATGTGTCAAATGAATTCTGGCTCTTGCAATGGCTGTTCATGAATTTCTGGCGCCATGTGAAGCAAGTTGCTCGTGCAAGCCATTGTGTCGCGCCCAGCCAGGATGCACACCCAGGCTTTGGAACAGGCTGTCAGCCGCTGCCCACCTACCAGGTAACGTGACTTCGAGATTCATACAGAGCCAGCAGCTTTAGCTGAGCCAGCTTCGCTCATTTTATGCGGCAAAATAAACTGTGTTTCATTTTTCTCTTAACATTGGATTTGTATCTTGCGACATCGGGGCAGGATGATTTTGTTTCTCTGCTATCAGGTGCCGTTGTCTTTGCGGGATCTGGTTCTAGGTATATAATTCGGATTTTCAAAGTCCCTATCTCTTCAAAGTTCTGGGCCATCTACAGGACATTTAAGTCATCTTGAATTTGTAATCTTCGCATACGACAAATGTATCCTGTCTCTTAACCTAGAAGTGTTAAGAGTTCCAACCTTTGCCCGGGTAGTGGGGCAACTTCATGAAAAAGTACCGCAGATCAGCTAGTGAATAACAAGTCCTGAAAGTCCACCACGACATTTACAACTCCAAATTTAACTTACACTCTAGGAGCACATTTAGTCGTCACGCCAAAAAACGGATATTGAGTTATGTACTATGTACAGTACATGTGTAGTCATGTTCGTGGTTGTGAGAAATGTAGCGAAGTTAGTGTGGGTAAGTGAAGTCGCGACCCCGCCAACCCACCCCACCACAAGCTCCATTCTATGCAATCCAGGCCATGTCAACTGTCAGCCTTTCAGAGTCACAGGACAAAAGTGGATAGGTAATGAGATAAGGACTTTTCGTCTCACCTATCATCTGATACATCCGGTGTAAGCATCCCCGACACCACCACTTATCAGCTCATATCTAACACCTCGCAGATAGTGTAGGGGTTAACATAGCCCGCTTTCAATGTCTCAACAGACTTTGTGAAGCGCCGGGCAGCCCCGGGTTCGATTCCCGGTACCGGAATATTCTCTTTTTGCGTTTTGAGGGAGGCTTGGGCACTTGGGTTGTGGTTGGTTGAGTGTTACATTTTTGCAACCGAAGACTGCGGTGTGATTTCTCGTTTATTTTAGGCTTATGCTAGACTAACAACACCCGTAGCCAAGTGTGGAGAAGCATTTAACTTTAGGAGAATTAAGATTCCTTTTTATTTGCGCGTGTTTCACTTTATGTTGTGAAAGCTCCATCCACTTAGTGATATTAAATTAAAGTTACTTTTAGAGTCCAAAGGGACGTTGAAGAAAGAGTGGTCTAACAAAGGCTGTTGAATCATATGCCAGACGCTAGTCTAGATTTAACCCCTGACACAGCACTTATCTAAATTTTCGCAAAAAGAAAGACTTCCGGTACCTAGAATGGAACAGATCTATTGAATCTTAGCTTCCTCTTTGCAGACAATGAAAGTGGGGCTATGTGGTGTGGAAAGTAAGGGATGGTATTCTGCCCACAACCTAACCGAGCTCTCGGCTAGGGTATAAATAAAGCATTTTCTACCAGGAGATACTTTCCGACAAACAATAGTATCGATTGTATACCACAATAGTTTGTTTGTAAGCTTGGACTGCAAAGAAGTTGCGACAGGCATTTGCTGGGTTGTGAGAGCGACGGGAGGACTAAGGTTGATCCTGGGCGGGATCCCCCCAGCAAAATACCTGTACCTTGAACAGCTTCCAACTTCAATATTAGGAAGATCCTCGCCAGGAACGATCGTGCACCAGAAGATGGGAAATATTATTCGTTATCAACACAGTTTTACGATATCTTCAAGCACTTTTTAAATACTTCATGGAAATATGTAAGTGGTCAGACCCTTGAGGCACAGCTGGGGCGTCGTAAATTGTGATATATCACTTTCAAAGCGGCTTTCATAGAATTGAAAAGTGGAGAAAGGATTGAAGGTGACCTTTGATAACACCATCTTATTCGTCTTACTTCCTCAGCACGAAGAATGCTGGGTTTCCTCTTCAGCGATCCAAATCCAGTTCTCCACGCAGCATAGTTTCTCCGCTCCGCTCCCTTTCCGCTCGGCTAACCAGACTAGTCCCACCTGCGGATTTGGCTACGTCGCGACTTCAAGATCACATTTAGAACCCCCAATCCACCTTCTGCCTCCCCTTGCAATTCATGAAGCTGAGGAGCTACCCCCTCTCACCATGAGTTACAGCAAGAAAGACGAAGATGCCGATACGGCTATCATGAGGGTAGACAGAACCTCAGTATTCCAGGAAGGTCGGTGAACATCCCCCCTCCATATAGAGCTCCCCTAATGCCAGACAGCACGATTGTTCAATTCGTCCCCCATCCAACCTCGGAAATGTCGAGTCCTCCTCACCAAGATCGCCCTCCTCCTCTACACCGGCGAACGATTCCCTACCAATGAAGCCACTACTCTCTTCTTCGGAATCTCCAAATTGTTCCAGAACAAAGATGCCAGCTTACGGCAGATGGTGCACCTTATCATCAAGGAGTTGGCGCATTCGGCGGAGGATATTATAATGGTCACAAGCACAATCATGAAGGATACTGGTGGTGGAACAGATGCAATCTACAGACCAAACGCTATCCGAGCGCTCTGCCGCATTATTGATGTGAGTTGAGGCATGCGGTCCAGGAGGACTAGAGTTGACAGTGCTAGGCATCGACTGTACAAAGTATCGAGCGTGTTATGAAGACTGCAATCGTCGACAAGAATCCCTCCGTATCATCTGCCGCCCTCGTTTCCTCCTACCACCTACTTCCAATAGCCCGCGATGTTGTCCGAAGATGGCAGAGTGAAACACAAGAAGCTGCGTCTTCTACAAAGTCATCTGGTGGATTTTCTCTGGGGTTCTCTACCTCGTCGAGCCAAATGCCGGTCAACAACTCTACCATGACACAGTACCACGCTATTGGACTCTTGTACCAGATGAGAATGCACGACAGGATGGCTTTGGTCAAGATGGTTCAGCAATTTGGAACTGCGGGTGCAGTAAAGAGCCCTGCAGCAACGGTCATGCTTGTAAGACTGGCTGCGCAATTGGCAGAGGAGGATCCACAACTCCGCAAACCAATGATCCAGCTTTTGGACGGCTGGCTCAGACATAAGAGTGAGATGGTCAACTTTGAGGCTGCAAAGGCAATATGCGATATGCGGGATGTAACAGACGCCGAGGTTACCCAGGCCATCCACGTCCTCCAACTCTTCCTTACATCGCCTCGAGCAGTCACCAAGTTCGCCGCAATCAGAATTCTCCACAATTTCGCCTCTTTCAAGCCCCAAGCTGTACACCCTTGCAACCCAGATATCGAACTTCTTATCTCCAACACCAACCGTTCGATTGCTACATTCGCCATCACGACCCTTCTCAAGACTGGCAATGAGGCCAGTGTGGATCGTCTGATGAAGCAGATTTCGGGTTTCATGGCTGACATTACGGATGAGTTCAAGATTACTATTGTCGAAGCCATTCGAACACTCTGTCTAAAGTTCCCCAGCAAGCAAGCTGGTATGCTTGCATTCCTTAGTGGCATACTCAGGGATGAGGGAGGGTACGAGTTCAAGCGGGCCGTTGTAGAGAGCATGTTCGATTTGATCAAGTTCGTTCCAGATTCCAAGGAGGACGCTCTTGCACATCTCTGTGAATTCATCGAAGATTGCGAGTTCACTAAGCTAGCAGTTCGAATTTTGCATCTGCTTGGATTGGAGGGACCCAAAACCTCACAACCAACCAAGTATATTCGATACATCTACAACCGAGTTGTGTTGGAGAATGCAATCGTACGAGCTGCTGCAGTCACAGCATTGGCAAAGTTTGGTGTCGGACAACAGGATCCCGAAGTCAAGCGAAGTGTTACCGTTCTCCTCACGAGATGTTTGGATGACGTTGATGACGAAGTCCGTGACCGTGCTGCGTTGAACTTGAGACTTATGACGGAGCCTGACGAGATGGCTAACCGGTTCATCAAAAATGGTAAGAGAATCGCAACTTATTATGAAGAATGCTAACCCGCATAGAAAACACATTCGCTCTCCCATACTTCGAGCATCAACTTGTCATGTATGTTACAGCAGATGACAAGTCAACCTTTGACAGTCCTTTCGACGTCGCCGCTATCCCAGTCGTCACCAAAGAGCAAGCAGATGCGGAGGACAGGACGAAGAAGCTAACTACCGTTACCCCAACTATCAAGGCGCCAAAGGCTGGCCCAACCAAATCCACACCTACAGGCACAGAAGCGGCGGCTACAGCTTCTGCGACGGCCCAGAAATACCAACAAGCACTGCTTCAGATCCCAGAAATGAAGTCATATGGCAGTCTCTTGAAGTCATCCCCTGTTGTTGAGTTGACCGAATCAGAAACAGAATACGTCGTTAGCGTCGTCAAGCACATTTTCAAAGAGCACATCGTACTCCAATACGATGTCAAGAACACACTTCCAGATACTGTTCTCGAAAATGTTTCGGTTCTCGCCACACCTGCAGAAGAAGAGGAACTTGAGGAGGATTTCATCATTCCAGCCGTCAAGCTCGTCACTGATGAGCCAGGTCCCATCTACGTTTCCTTCAAGAAGATCGGTGGTGAGGGTGCCTTCTCAGCCAGCAGCTTCACGAATGTATTGAAGTTCACCACCAAGGAGATTGATCCAACAACTGGTGAGCCCGAGGAGAGCGGCTACGACGATGAGTACCAGGTTGAGGACCTCGAGCTTACCGGAAGTGACTACGTCGTACCAGCATTTGCTGGTAACTTCAATCACATTTGGGAGCAAGTTGGTGCTGCTGGTGAGGAGGCTGAGGAGACACTCCAACTTGAGGGTGTCAAGAGCATTGCAGGCAAGTCAATATTCGCTAGCTCAATAATGCAAAGACTAACTATACTAGACGCAACCGAACAACTAGCCAAGACACTTTCATTACAACCTCTCGAGGGTACCGACGTACCTATCAACACAACCACCCATACCCTCAAGCTCTTCGGCAAAACAGTCACAGGTGGCCGAGTTGTCGCCAACATCCGAATGGCATACTCCTCCAAATCAGGTGTCACAAGTAAGATCGTCGTCCGTAGTGAAGAAGAGGGCGTTGCAGCTCTTGTCATCGGGTCTGTTGCGTGATTCGTCGGACAGGCTAGCGAAATTAAATGGAGTTGAATCGAGCATTTGGTACATGACTTTTGCGATTGATGTCTAGATAACGGTTTTTTGAGAGGGAAAAGCCGAAAACGGCGGGATGCTTTTGGTTCTCGATATGGAGTCTCGAAAGGTTAGAGAATGAAATCCCATGAATCCACCTTTCTTAACCTTTCCCTCATTTTTGTGTCTGTCTCCCACGAACAAAAAATCCAGCAACCCGGCATCAAGCAACCACTTTTCTCGAATCAAGTATCCGTGTAACAACCAGCAAGCTTGTCTTCGATTCAGCATCATTTCATTCATCTAGATTCAGTTTTCCATTGACTGCGATCGTAAGTAGCACAATAAAGTCCAGTAAAATGTCAAGCTTGCCGCACGTTTTACAATCTACTATACCACAACAACACACTCAGGTTAGGGTGAGGGGTTCCAAACATACCATCCACCTACTGCAATAATGCATAAATTTCCAACTCATCTTCAAGGATCGCTCAGCTGGTCCTTGTAAGTCACAAAGGATCCTCGATTCTGCCTCTCGATGACTCAGCTAAATTTATAACCACCAGTTTCCGAAATTTAAGCCATATATCCTCTCCCAGAACGACCACAAGAAGCGATGAACTAACGCTTCTACCCTTCCAGCACTCGTTTATACCCATAGAGTTGAGGATTCATTTCCTCAAAACTGGGTATTCAGTCTCATTTTCTCTGCAGGTCAATTGGTTACTACATGGCCAATCCAAATGCACCAAGCACAATCTCAAAATGGAATGTTCTTCCTATTCTCTACATAGAGCTGGCATTTGCGTCTTCAAAATAAGTCGTCAAAGTCAACAATGGAACTTTCTTTACCC